AGTGAGGTACAACTTTAATATTCTATTTCACAAAGTCAGCAGTCATGAAGTTATTTGAAGAGGAAGAAGATGAGCAGCAGCAGGTTTGAGTTGGAATATGATGATTTAAATTTGGTTTATATTCGCCAAAATCTCAGTTGCACAGTTTAGTTGGATGCATATTAACATGTTTAAGATACAGAAATACAGTTTAGAAGATCTTTTTAGCAGATAACAAAATAGACTAAAAGAACAACCACTTCTACTCCCCATCCCCACCCCAACAACCCAGGACAATGAATATCACTAAGGAAGAGGATTTTGGAGAAGAAAGAGAGATACAGAAGGAACTGGATGCAAACTTCCATTTTAAGAGAGGTGGGTGTAGAAGGAAACAGGTAGGAAAGAGCACAGGAAACAGCAGCAAGCAGGACCAGGCAAAACCAGAGGGAGCCACTGTCTCCCACCAGTTAAGGAGGAAGAGAAGTGGGCAGGGTAATGTGAGAAGTCCCACAGGAAGATGACTGATCAGTAGACATGAGGAGCCATTGACATCTAGTTCAGGAGTGTCTGGTAAATGAGCAGAAGGGAAAGCCAGAATCTAGTGACTCCAGGAACAAGTGGGAAATGAGGAAGAGAAGAAAGAAATTTCCATTTCTAGAGGAAAGGTGAGTTAGTTTTAAGTTAGGAACTCCATGAAAGTGTGGGGACATTGGGAAGTCAGAACTAGCTGGGGGGAGGGAGATGCAGGAAAAAGAGGATGAAAACCAAGTCCTTTTGATCAGTGTCTGTTCTTTTATGACTTCCGTGCTCAGGTAATCTGGAACTGCTCTGAATTAGTTCATTTCTCCCTCACTATTCCTGGGGTTCACACCTACTTAATAGAACTTATCACTTAAGATGTAGTCTTCAGTGTGTCCTCCATGAAATTTTGAAGAGTGACCAGGGTTATGGTTCTGTCCTGTCCTTCCAGCTCTTCCTGAAGATATCTGTGGTCATAAATCACTAGGAGTAGGGAAATGCTGGCTTTGAGGAATTGGAAAGGTATCTCTCTTTGTGGTAAGGTCTTATATAGCCCAGGATAGCCATGAACTAACTAACTAACTAAGTTAACCAACAGCCAACTAAACTAAAGTAACTAGCTAGCTAAACCAACGAACTAGCTATACTAACTTGTATAGTTAAGGTACCTGAAACTTCCATTTTTCTTCTTTCTAATTCCCAAGTGTTAGGACCACAGCCTCCACACTCTGTGGTGATGGAGAATCTTTCCCAGGCAGGTTCTAACGACTCAGGTAATTGGACACATATAGGTTTTGTTTCTACAAAGAATGTAAGAAAGTAAAAGTAAAGAGTCAAATGTTAGCACTACCAGAAAAATGAATTGTTTTTTATTCTGTTTTACAGCTATGTTTAAAAAACATTCTGAGGTTCTTGATGAAAAAGCAATTACAAAAGAACTGAATTACACTGAGTTGGGGTGTACAAAACAGCATCCACTCTTGAAAGGTAAAAC